AGAGAGAGAGAGAGAGAGATGAGGGGGGGATCCCTCAAGCCCAAAGTCAAATTCAGCCTCTGAAGTCACAGTGAGTCTAGGATTAGGCAGTGAGAAGGGGCAGGAATTTGAGAAAATTTAGACTAGCTGCAACAGAATATTACATTCAGTTTATATGAAATTAAGCTATTAGTACTGAACTATTTTGAGGCAAGCACATTAGCAGATTAGTTCCCCAATTGTGGATATGTTTAGTTAGCACAGAGAGTTATTTGTGTATATAAGGGCCACAATGTCCTCCAAACACTTTCAGTAACATTTAAAATGTTCTGTATGGTGCCGTGCATAAAGTTTGACTTTATGGTTCACAATTTAACTTATTTTCAAAGAAAGGACTAGAATGCTGACTTCTATTTCATTTGCAAAGTGGTGGCCAGGAAAGGGGACGCAATTCAGAAATTTTCATAACCAGTTTAATTCCTTGTTATACACAGCTCACCATATGTAAAATGGCTTTTATCTCATTCTGTGGCTGGGATGAGGGCTTCAAAAGCCATTTGGCTTGTTTTGAAACGGACCATAGTTGGTATTAAGCCATGGTCTTATTCTGGCAAAATGATAAGCTATTAGTGAGGGCCCATCACAATGCTGACATGGCTGTTGAGATTTCACAGCCTCTGAGGGTAACTGCATGGATTGTTTTCTGTTCCATTACTGTAAATGAGATTGTAATCCTAAGTGGGATTGCTCAACTAGCAATCTGTGTGAGGAGTCACACCTCAGTTTTAGATAAGAGAAGATTTGCTGTCTCTGCAAGCAGTGCGTGACACAACCAGAGGTGAAGATATTTTTGTCAAAGTGTTCTCAGCAATTGATGCTGCTGCCCTATCAAAGGATGAACTGGGCTACTGATGATATTCCTGACACAGTTTGATTTATGGAGAGATTTGTGGCATTACCAAAGAAAGAAACAGAACATCTCAAAACTGATATTTCACAGTCAATAGGATTCCATTACATCTTTATAAACGGTCGCTGTGCTTCAAAAGGGTTATATCTGACAGTAAAAATGGTTAACTTTATAAAAGAAGAATGCATAACTGCCAGTTATGGAACTTACTGGAGGAACTGGATAGTCATATGATGATCTGATATACAGTGCTGCTGTGATGTTTATTGGCTGAGGTGAGGTCAGATGTTCCAGAATTATTATGAGCTGAAAGATGAAATGCAGATTTTCACAGACAACAAAGTCAAGCCAAAGGCTGAGGTAAATCATCCAAAGTAGGTTGACAGCCTGGCACTCATGCTATCATGCCCCATTACGTTATACAACTCACCAATCTGGGTTCATATATGTCACTGAAGGAAAATGTACCTATGGCAAGTGGGACTAAAGAATAGCAAATTGAGCTACTTCCCAGCACTGCGGGCACATCAAGCAGATTCAACCACTGAATATGCTGAGAAGTACGTAGACTTACTAAAGAATCTTGAGGAATATTATCAAGATCTAAAGTCCACTTGTTATTGTAGTTGACACAAAAGCCCTGTGCAGCTAATACCTATCACTTGAGGAGTGAGGTGATTAATTGATATCAACCTGAAAAATCAACTATGTGTTGCAACAATATCAGTCCAGCCAGACACCCAAAACAAGCACAGACTACACATTAAGAGTCATTAAGAGGGTTTCAATCATTTGATTTAAAGTTTCAATAAAATAAATACAATATAAAGCTCCTCTTTCTGCTCAACTTCATTATATTTTTCTCCAATGGCTTTGCCAGAGGTCCTGTCAGCCTTCCCAGGTAAACCAGACAGGAAACATGACTAGATGACCTAATTCTACTTTAATATAAGGCTACATTAACAGAATCTTGCAGATTTATTAACATAAATCTCCCACCCTCCCTATTTACTGCCTGAGTAGTTAGGGCAGGTCCTTCCTAAGTTTCTTTTTCTGGCCATTATTCTGTTGTGGACTCCTTTCTCTTTTATCTGATCGTTCCCTAGGCGGCATCTCTTCCCCCGTCTTACAAGGTCACCCTCACATTCCATCACAGGTCCCGGCCTCCCCATTTTTTGCAGACTGTTCATAGGCCAGCGATGCCCTTGAAGTGGCCAAAGTTTGTATCGCTGTGCTAAGGAAAGAGCAATGGCCTTGGGAGCCATCGTTTCTCTTTTTTCTCTTCCCAAAGGCTGAGGCATGTAATGAACAGGGCAAGGACATTGCAATGTAAAAGAAATGGATTGGGCTGGAATTTTTGGTTTTGTTTCTTTTCTTTTTTTAAAATATGGCTCATGTCTACCCAACGGCTCACACACCTGTTCTGTTTTATTTTGTGCTACAAATCAGAGGTCAGTTGCACCTCAGTTTTTCTATGGTTTGCTGACAAATTCCACTTGCACTATTTCAAGAAAAGCCCTGGGAGGGGTGCATGCATTCCACAGGCCATAGGATGCCTACCCTTTTGATAAGGGAAAAAGGGAAAACTTCTGGAGCCTTCTTCAGACCCGAGAGGGGAGAGGGGAAGAAAGAATGCGGAGAAACGTAGGAACTGTGGCTCGCATATTGATTTAGTGAGATGTGATCACAGCTGTGGCATGATTATTTATTTATTTATAGGATATATAAGGCGGCCCAACCCATAGTTTGTGACTTGGCAGCATACTAAAACCAATATAAAAAACCTGACATATGCAAGGCTGGAAATAACAAACCTTCCCTTTCCTAAGAAATGTACAACTGAACATTATCAGCAGGCTGATGATACTTGTCTCTGTGCTGACCGTGACCTCATCCAGCATCTTCATGTAGATGTTAAACAAAGTGGAGAGAGGATAGAGCCCTGAGGCACCCCTCAAAGCAGACACCCCTCTTTCCTCCCACCAGCACTGACTGGAACTAATTCTGGAGAAAGTAGGAGAACCATCGCAACACCATGCCACCTACTCCTAATACCCTGAGCTGGTCCAGAAGGATACCACAGTCAGTGGTGCTGAATGTCCCTGAAAAATCAGTGCCAGGAGGGACACTGTCCCGCTATCCTGAGCACACCACAGGTCATCAAAAAGTGTGACCAATGCTGCATCAGTGTTATATCCCATTCCATAATCTGACTGAAAGGGGTTCAGATGGGGGAGTGTTCTTAAATCATACCCATATACTGTTTCCCTAGGTTTTTTCCCTAATTAAAAAAAAGGGGTTTTTTTATTATAAACTTGTGATAAATATCAAAGTTCCAGTCCCTTTAATGAACTCACAAAGATTAGTCAGGATTGGTACACATTTTGCTTTGCTGTCAGTTAAGCTTTGGACTTTAATGCTGGCTTGTAAAAATTCCACAACCCGAACAGAGAGAATAGGTACTCTTTGCGCTATGTATGCTTCAAAAATAATTTAGAGGAAGCTCTTGGGATCATGTCCTCGTTCAGTCGTCCGTGCGTGCCTGAAAAAAGATACCACGGAAGTAGATCATAATGTAACTCTTGAAGCTACAACTTTTTTTTTTTCAGGCTAATGCAGAAGCCTAAAAAGGATGAGCTGCTTTAACAAATAGGTGCAGCACTTCCTTGAGGTGGTACTTTGTCATCATTTTCAAAGCATGTGTGGCCCTATATGTACTATGCCTTTAGGACTATCAACAGAATGAGATCTGTCAAACAGGATAATACATTAGAATGTTTTCTGTGCTTAATTGTGCAAAATAAATATACTTGCATTTATCTGTTTGCTTACCTATGCCTAGTTGTGCTCAAGTGATGGGCAGAGAGGTGTACTATTAGGTGTGTTGTCAGGAATAGCAATACATTTGAAGAGGTGGTCTTACCTGTTGTCTTCAAGCAGAATAGAAGTGAACCCCATTTAGACTGCTTCAGTGCATTGTGCATGAAACTGCCTTCAAAAACAACCCAGAATGTTCAACTAGATGAAACTTGGTGCCAAAGATGCATCTGGTAACACAGTCTCATGTTCAAATCACTGCTGTATCCTGTCTTCTTGTACCACTTCCTACCCTCCCCTTAGATTGTTAATAGAAGTCCTGTTCTGAGTGCTTTCATCTCCTGAAATATGGTAGCTACATATTTCAGGAGATGAAAGCACTCAGAACTACTTGATAAAAATGGGCATTGCGTGGTAGACCCATAACATTTAGAAAAATGCAATCTCCAGAATATCCAGCTGGCACCTACAATTATGTTTTTTATGTTTGTTTATAAAAATCTGTATATTGTATTTTATGGTGAGTTTTAGTAAGTTTTAAAAACTGAATATTTAGTTAGTTCTTCCAATTTTATTGCTTATTATGATTTTAAATTCTGCTTGTTTTTAACTGTGGGCATCCTCTGTTATTGTTTAATTTATGAATAGAGATGGGGGGGTTGTTTGGATAATTATTTTTTCTACATTTCTGAGGGCAAATGTTACAGGACAACTGAAATCTTGATTGAATGAATAGACAAATTCAGCATAACTGCATTCTCATAATTTCAAAAATATGCTTGTTCCATAGTAATGAATCACCAGCACCAGCCACAGATGACACCAACTACAACTATATCTCAGCAGAACCACCCTCCCCCAAACCCTCAGGCTGCCTTATTGAACATGCCAAATGCATTGACTTCCCAGCAACAACAGCAGCAGAAGCTGAGGCTTCAGAGGATCCAAATGGAGAGAGAGAGGATTCGCATGCGTCAGGAGGAACTCATGCGTCAGGTATTCCAAAATTTTGGGAAGGTATCTTTTCGTGTAGGTTGCCCAGCACTCCAAGTGAGAGGTCACTGAGTAGGGATTCGCCCCTAACATTGGAAGATTAGCATCTTTTTGTTGTTGTTGTTGTTCAGTTGTTAAGTCGTGTCCGACTCTTCGTGACCCCATGAACCA